TTAATATGTCCACTCTGTATCAGATGAAGGCTTTGAACTCTAAATTAACTACGCATGTAGTAAAACTTCTGTTGACTATGCTTGTGGAAGAGCAGAGGCACAAGTTTCCCTACTAACACCATCTAAACAATACGAACAGTTTGCTTCAGCTAACTACATGAGTGCTAGATTTGTTGTAAGGAGACTGACTGAAGCTCAGAAAAATCAAGTGTGTGACAGGCATTTGGAGAGAGCACTTAAAATGCTACTGTTACTTCAATGAGATCTGCCTCCTGCATATGTCTTGTTTCTCTGATTTTCAAGATGAAGCTTGGCCTGTTCTTTACATTCTTGATTTAAAAATCAATGTGATTCTGGTTCAGGAAATATAAAGCTAAATTGTGAAAGCAGTGTATTTCAGCTGCTCTCGCTGCTAAAGGACACGTCTGCTTCCTTTTAGAAATCTCAGTCGGTTTCTCTTCTACTGCCTCTGCCCCAGGTGACGAGTAATGCATGTGTACATTGTTGCTAGGTGGGCACAAGAAAAATCTTTGTTTTCATGAGTAGACCTTACTTATGGGAACAGCCTCATAGTTTGTGTGAGTCAAGCCAGTCATGTGAACTAAGAGCTGCAGACAATATTGGCAGCCTGTACTGAAGTTACCACTTCCACCCGGGCTGCGGAGATGACAGGTGACAGAAGTGGATAAGCTGCATTTGCCCTGCTTGAGCATCTAGGCACCATGTATATGATATTTATCATGCATCTTCTCCCCTTTTCATCTTTGTCTTGGAATTGAAAGTATCTGTTCAACTGCCTGTTGCCTTAGCCTATGGATCCTTCAGCTCCTCAGACTTTGCTACACGCTTACTATCCTGGTACAGAAGAGGGGATTTGCCTCACTGGTTGGTATTATTGTTTGATATCATTTAGCTCTTAGCAGCAGAGCTAGCAAATAACACTACTTACAGATTTAAAATGAAACACAAAAAAAAAAGGTGTCCTACTGCAGCTATCTGCTTGCAGTGTTCTGATTCTCTAGTATGTATTAGCTGATGGTGACTTATGAAGCATAAATACCCCAGATTGATTTTTTTTTTGAAACCAGACTGAGCTTGCAGCTGGCAGCTGAACAAAACTTGTTTTGATGTTTAAACCAAGTAAATGAGATATAGAGATAACTGGCAGGGAATAGATTTAAGGCTACATTGTGGCATGAAGCTAGAACCCTGCAGTGGGAGCAGTGCAGAGTTACTGCACTGCAGCAGATTCCCAGAGCAAACCACAATGACCCTGGGAACTTCCCAGCTTGCGGTTCATGCTACCCCTACAATAGGTGCAGCAGGTACTCTTAATGCTATCCCATTTTCTTAGGTGTCATTGTGAACAAAAGAGAGCTGATTCCACTCCTCTGGAGGTAGCTATGAAATAGTTTTCTCCCCGGAAGGCTAGAGTCTACTTACACAGACTCCAGCTTAGGAGCAGAAAGGAGAAACCTTCTTGCATCCTTTTCTCAACTGTGCACTTACAGGAAAGGCTTAGCCCTTAATAGCAGCCACCTGCAGCCTACTTTTGGTCTACAAACAGATGTTCACAGGCAGAAACAGCTGCATAACTGATACCATCCCTCTGTTGTTTGTCATCACCCCTTTGCTGTAGGTTACGGCTCCTTCTCAATGCAATAAGACGTGTGAGTGCTTCTTACCTGCCTAAGGGCAAAGTCTTGCAGCTCATGGTAAACTGAGTTTAAAAAATACTGATTGTGCACCAAAGCAAGTAAACTTTTTTCTACCAAAAGCTATGGAAAATAATAAACTTGCAGCAGAAAGGGCATGACAAAAACCTAAGGGCTGGTAACAGCTGATACTGCAGAAGTTGGTTTTCTGATCATTTCCTAAGGGCTTGTAACTCTTCTGGGAACTGAAGGACAAAAAAATTCACTAGAAATGTTGTTATCTGGCCCATTCTTAGGTCTTGTAAGCTGTGGAATCTTGTAAGTCCGTAGAGTTTTCATGGGCCGATAGGCCTGTGACTAGGGCTTAGATTTATGTCCGATATATATTCAACATATATTTCACTATTTTCTATCATATATATATTATTCCTTGTCCATAATATCGTCATGTATTCGCAACTAAACTTTACAATTATTTTTCTATCCTATATAACTGCATTTGCCATGTAGCGCTGTAGCCCAAACTAGAATCAAATTAGTGCTCTTCATCTTCTGGATTCCTAGTTGAATAACCTAAAATCAAAGTTTCTTTGCTTCCCCGCCCCAAAAGAAAAAATGTATGGACGTAGGCTCTTTTCAGAAGTCCAGATTTTCAATGTGCATACATAAGGGTCAGCACTTACAAGCCTGGGTCCCATCTGCACAGTTAAACAAGCCTATTTCTTATGCAGTGGTTTTCTCGGACCTTCATGTTAGGAGAATCCAGTGAATGATGCAGCCGTGATTGGACTGTACTGTGAGCGTACCTTACTCATGGTTTTAGGTGGTGTATATGTACAGTCAGCTTTCTGTGCAAACAAGGTAGCAGATTGGCAATGACAGTATAAACTTCCCTCTGCTACTCAACTAATGTATTAGAACTGTTGTCCCTATGGGTAAGAGGGATGAAAGAAGAATGTCATAGCCCTGCTCAGGCCTTGAAACTGTAGGCAGTAAACAACCTGAGGACACAAGTACAACTTGAGCACTTCATCCTGCCAGACAGGCCCTTTTTTTCTGCCTGGATACCAAATGAAAACCAGAGAGCTTTGCATACATGTTTGCCTGCGTCAATCTCACTGATTCTGAGATGACATCATTAGTGATGTGAAACTCTTCCTTTAAGGTGAGCCAGTGTTACCAGTTCACGTAGCAATGAACAAGAGCTACAGGTTTTTATCTTTTTCCTCCCTTGAGTTTTCTTCAGAATTGTGTAGTTCCATAGCCCTCTCCTCTCTGTCATTCACTGTTTTATACTACTTAACCTAAAGCTAAACTATGAGGAATGAAAAGAACAAGAAATTTGGAATAGGTGCATGATTTATTTCTGAGTAACTGTTTATGTATATGTATGAATACCTCATGGGAAACTCTTAACCCTATGTAAGTCATTTCTTAATTACTAGAATTCATTGCAGAAGCAGCTAGCCTATATTTTTTGTTGTAAATTTCTGTGGTAGAAAGCACCTCTGCAGAATACTTTAACTGGTTGCCTAGAGAAAGGTTATGTAACAGGTTTGTGCTACTTTAGGAGAGTCAGATGTACACAAATACTTATGACCCATGTTAAGTAAGAGGGAAAAATAGCCACTGTGTGTAGCCACGTAGAATTACTGCCACAGTAATGCGTTACAGAGAAATTTGACTAGAATACCTGAAACAATGATGCTATGGGCCAAACACCATCTCTTTTATCTTTTATGACTTTACTGAGACTTTTTATTGAATAAGCGCCTTATTGTTGAACCTGGTAAATCACTGGTTATAATTACGCTGTATATAATAGGGGGGAGTAGCAGGACAGAAAACTTTCATTTATGTTTCCACAGAAGAGGCCCACCCCTGTTGAAGTCAGCAGGAACTATACTTTCAAAAAGAGCCTTTCCTTTCAGAAAGGAAGAATTATGCCTCCAGGGTATAATAATATCTTACACAGATACCTGATAGGTCTTACTACACAGCTCAAATCTGCTACTACCTGTAAGTGATCTAGGTTCTTCATGGGACAAATCAGGCAAGAGCATTGTTTCTTTGTAAACCTATGAAAGGAGTTTGCAGTGAGCCTTGAAGCCAGTCAAGAGTTTCATCCCAACCCGAAGATGTCAAACAATTTTGAACGTTTAAGAATGATTTAAGTAATGTTGAGTAAAGCTTGACAATTTTGTCAAATGTTCACAGTTCTGATGCAAAATCAGGTGCAGTTTGCCAGTCAAGTTTCGTTTTGGGGTTAATGTCATTATTTGACATAAAAAGTGACATGGCTTCAATGTGCAGTTTCCATTTGCTTAAGTCTGTAGACAACCAGGTGACTGAGCAAAAACAGTAGACCAAACGATCACCGAAATGAAGCCTGACTTGAGAGTTGGGTAGCTTTATATTCTAGGGCAATTACAATATATCAAAAAAAAAATCAATTTATTCTTTCAAACAAGGAAAGAAAAGCGTATCTTAGAGCTTTTCTTGTACTGTCTTTATTTATGTCAGTGGTTTATATGTATGTGTGTGTATATACACATACATGTATATATATATACACCCACATATATATGTGTATTATTTTACTGCTTCTGCTATTCTTCATGGTTGCTTGACTAATTAAATCAAGTTCACCATGGGGGAAAGCTCTCAGTTTTTCTTCCTGTGTTCTGCATACCACATATTTGGATTCCCTAAGCATCCTCACAAAGTCACCCTGGTGTAACTCCGCTTTGAGCTAGTTGGCATTGGAGGCAATCAGAAATGAAGGGCTGTTCTGGGGTGGTGGCAGCTGAGAACTGGAACTTTAAACTGTCTTTTCCCAGCTTATGTGGGTTGAGGATTTTAGCTCTCTGAATTGGTCAGACTTCTTATAGTATTGTAGAACATTACCAGCACAAAATAGCTTAATTCAGGAGATTCTGTCTATTACACACAAGTCATCTTGCTAGTTTTGGTAAATTAATCTTGTATCAGATGTAAAGGTTTAATTTTCACCAACAAATGTTCTTTCTAGGCCTTAACAGTAATCTTTGCCTGGTATAGGACAAATGTCACAGTGTGCAAAGGATTCTGAAATCAGTGCATGTCAATGAGAAGACAGCCTTTATTCTAGTTCTAAACCTACAGTCACCTCACAAGGAGACAGTAAAGTGAGAGTCCTTGCCTTTTTAGAGACACCGAAATACCACTGCTGGTCTTTGGAGAGCTGGACCTGTACTGCACACCCAGATGCAGTGCACAGCCCTCGGCTGTAGATTTAGCATTAGAGTAACTCCAAAGTCACGGTGGGTTTTTTAAGGAAGCCAGTCAGGACCGAAAATGTTTTACCTGATCTGTACGTGTCCACGTGGACGCCTACGGTAGCTGGAATGATCCTGCCATCAGGGGAGATGTCTGCTGTTCCATGTATATTGCAGATGATTTCTCTCTGAAGTGGGTACTCTAAAGAGTGAAAAAAAAGGGAGAAGCAAGCTCGACAGAATTACAAACCTCAATCAGCATGATGTCATCATGCACATCTTAATTGCCTTTGATATCATATTTAAACATTTATAAAAGCAAATTGTTAACATTTCAGTTTAGTTACTATACGAGCGCCTACAACTGGCTCATGATTGTGCCTAATTAAACATTTCCAAACATTGAAATATCGGTGTATTTCAGTAGCTGCCATTTAATAAAACTGTGTCAAATGTATAGTCTTAAAATTTATTAGGCTTGAAGCATGTGCTTGGAGCCACCTTGTGGCCCAGAACTCCACTGCAGTAAGTGTGCTCCTACTGCAGCGCCCCTGCAGAATTTGCCCATGCCCATCGCGCCCTGTGCATCCTACCCTACCAAGGCAGCCAGCCCTCCGGAGTCCACGGCTGCTCTTTTCACTACCAAACTGCCAAACTATGGCTTAGCCTTTTCAGAACAGGTTATTCATAGCTGTACTGTCTGGATTACTCGCCTGCAATGAACAGAGACGTATTTTCAGCCTGCACACTTTTGCACCTAATAATAAGCATCACAGTGAGATTTGCTAAGTCTAAATAGTGAAATTCATATATGTTAATGAAACCGATTGGTGTTTGCAGTGCTGAAGTTTTAGTGCTCAGATATTATCTGGTGTATTTTGTTGTGCGGTTGCAGTTGGTAAAGGCATTAATGCTCCCATAATAAATCTGTGATAAATTCAAGTCTGTAACATTTCCAGTAAGTAGTATTCTTGTGCTGTATTTAATAGGAGACTGTGACTTAAAGTAGATGTCTGCTGTCTTTAGTTCTATGTAACACCTTATGGCAAGAATGGCCTCATTGACTTCAATGAAGCTATCGTGTAATTACTTTTTTTTGTTTGTTTTGATTGTAGCAGTAGTGCAAACTTGCCAACAGTTGCCACAGTCACTTCAGATGACTCTTGACCCAAAAGGGAACACAACAAAACAGAACAATTAGACACATGAGGTAGATGGAAGAGCAAGCACAAATAACAGGAGTAAATGAAATGGCCACTTCTTGGGTTGGATTGAAGTTGCAAAAGGTGAACTCTCAGAATTTTGAATAGGGGTTGGCTGTTTAGTACTCAGTAACAGACCGTTTCTTCATATTTCACTTGGATTGTTTTGTAAGTAGTAGCTATTTCGTCTGATTTTTATGTAATAAGGAAAGTAGAATATTGAAGCTGTTCAGAGCAGGGGGGGTGTTTTTATTCCATTTTACCAGAAATAGCCCCAGGAGCAACAAAATGGGATGAGATCCAGTAACTTTTTCGATCCTTACTCAACTTTTTTTCAGCTAAATCAGCTGAAGGAAGAAAACCAGGCATCATGTGAGCAGTTTCAGACACTGCTTTCCTCTTTCAGCTCGCCATTTGTTGCGTAGCCATCGGAGTCGGACTCGGTAAGAGCAGGCTTGGATCGGCGTTCCCCGGGCTGGACGAGCGCTGGGTGCAAGTGGCTGCGCTCAGCGCCGAACCAGTGCGTCGGGGCTTCCCAGGAGGGATCACGTCTTACTGCCGTTCTGAGGGCTTCCTCAGCCAGTGATCATGGCAGTGACATGTAGGAGGGGAAAGAGGCTTTTCTGCCAGATGACAGTGGCAACCCTTTTTAAGCTGTAGCACTGCAAATGGGATTTCTAAACCAGGGACAAGGAAACACTGACTGGAGACCTCATTGCTCTTTAAAATCTGTGATGTTATGAGGTCTGGTACAGTCACCCACGTTGCAGCAAAAGAAGCAATTTACCTCTCCCTCCTGCCTTATTGAATACTGAACTGTGCCGTCAATAACTGCAGAAGTGGAAGAGATGCTGTTATTTCCATGGCTAATCAGGAGATATTGACAATGTTTGGTCATGTATAGCACAGGTCAGAGGAGGGCAGAAACATCCTGATTAGTATCAATTTCTATGAAAGCCACTGAGTATAAACTACAATTAATTTGAACAGTTTATGCTATACATACCTTGTGACTGAGGTAGCAAAAACTTGTCCCAGAGTTCCCCAGTTTGAACCCTGTAATTCATGCTTCATAACACTTAATCATAAGTGTTGTTTAAATACAGAAGTCATGCTGTTTGGCCCATCTTGCAAGGTGTAGATTTCTGTCAAGAGAAGATATGTGGTTTAAATGATATCATTTCCAACATATATTATAAAGGATATATTTTGCCAGGAGTCAAGAAGAGGAAGAACAGAATGGGAATCAAGGGATATTGCATTTTAGATGCCTAGAAAATGTACTAAAGATTTCATGATTTCCTACAAGGTAGCCTGGGAAAGCCAGAGAGACCTTGCTGCTTACTTTTATCTAAGCAGCAGTCTAACAACATTAGTATTTTATTTCTTTTTCTTTGCCTTCTATCTTATTCACTTTTTAAAAAGCAGCAGCTTTTTAAGTAGGCTAAGGAGTTGATTGTCTGTTTGTTTGTGTGTTCTGCTGCTAATTTTGCTGTGATTTCACAAAGTGAAAGCTTCTTCGTAATCAAACGCAGTGGCTGAACCCAGCTTACAACATTAAGCAGACTGAATTGCAAGTTAGAATTATTAACAGATTTGATCAGCAGCCACTACTGTTCCCTAGCAGGGGAAGTACACACCATTTATATAATAATTCTATAGTTTTGGGTGTCAGCAACTACGTGATTAGGCAAATCTAAATGCACCTCTATAAGTAAGGTAGAGATTGATTGCCATGCAGAAGTAGGAGGTATTACCTGCTGCGGATAATGATGAAGTAAAAATGATAGTCAGGTGATTTAAATTTAAACGGCACCACTGAGCTTGGTGCCATCCCAGTCTACAGCAACATGGGTGCTGGCCACATAATCAATATTGAGGCTTCATTTTATGAAACAACTGTGTCTCCTCTTAGAAGCAAAAATAAGCAATTCTGTTGCAGGACAGTTTTTTTTCTGGGAAAGCCCAAGGCAAGTATTAAATATTTATTTGGCTTTTTAAAAATATTTTGAAATTTTGTGTACTGATTTATAAATACCAGAATTAATGAGCAAGCCAGAGCAATATCAGTTCATACATGTTTTCCTTTCTACAACTGCAGACAGATTTTAATCAACTAGTTTTAGAGATTAAGATTGTATGCTGTTTCTTAGTAGAGAGAAAGCTCTTTAAAATTATGCTATTCCAGTACTGCTATGTGAAAATATTATACTGTAAAACTACTATTGGCAAAAAGATCTCTTTCTGCTACACAAGTACATACAAAAGGATCCTCTTGTGGATTCAATCACAAATTATATGGTTTGGAAAAGGATATCAATTAAAATTAAATGAAATTGGAGGATTCCTACAGAATTCTGTAGTCATTAAAATTAATTCTGTGCATTCATCATAATTAGTGTTGTACCACAGGAGTAACAATCATTAGCTACTTATTGCTGACTTTTAGGAAAGAATATTACTCTGAATGTTTAGTCCTTGTGAACAAAATAGAACAGTATCTTTGATAGCGATTCAGCACAGAAATAAAAGAGACTTTCTGTTAAACTACCCAAGGCTTTTAGTGGAAGGCTTGACAAGTTTCATGCCTTAATTTGTTCTAGTGGGAATATTTAACTGAACTTCATTGGAACTGGGGTACAAGAAAGCAGTAGGTACTTATCAGAGCTGAGTTAGAGGTTCTTTCACTGGGCTGGCACTGTAAAGGTGCAGAGATATACAGTCTCTAAAATACTCAAGGATATTCTTTGGAAATGCATTTAATTAAACACACTGGATAATTCCTGCATCAGCAATAAAGCTCTATTTTTCCTCCGTTAGATTGCCTTTAGTGACTATTCTGAGATGGATTTTTTTTCACCTTTTCCACTGAAATTTTTATTTAAAACAGTAGTATTCAAAAAAAGGAGAGAGAAATGCTACTTTTACAGAAAGCTTGCAAATAAAAAATACTATCTTCAAGTGTCTATTTATAAAGGTATCGCTAGAATCTCTCTGTGGTTCTTCCCAGTGTTAAAGATAATGTATGAATGTGGTATGTAATCAGTTATGCCAGAGTTGTGTTGTATATAGCAAAAAAGAATATATAAACACATCAGACTACTTTGTAATTATTACAGTTCCTAAAAGAGTTTTAAAAACTTAAAAGAGCCATTTCTTAGGATCCTCAGTCTTCACATTTTGTCTTCCAGTCTTGGTGTTTTCTTAGTTAGTACTCATTAGAACTCATATTGTCTTGCCTTGTGTTCTGCTGGTAACGTACTTCGTATTTTCTAAAAACTGGACCTGAAATATTCATTATTTATTTATCTGTCAACATAAAAGGCTAACTGTAATAATAATAATGCAAATTGAAGTTTTTTAGGTGTTTGCAAAACTGCGGATCCCCATTTTGCCCAACAGTCCTGAAATTTGGACCTAATTTTTTTTGGATACGGGCATTTTGTCCAAATTTCCAATGTCTGGATGGAATAAATTTAATAAAGGAATTCTTGGAGTTAAGTGACAAGTTCAGTCACCCTTACTTCTTTGTCTTTTGTGATTTCCTGATTCTCTTTTTTCTTATCTCTTCTGATTTTTATCTTTTCTTCCTCTTACCCAATCCTTTTAGTTTCTCCTCCTACTTCAATGAATTATTCTTCTTCCCAGCCCTGTTTTATTGCTACAGAGAATCAAAACATACTTACTGGACTGCAGTATATGTCTTGATGGAGGAAGTGGATAAATTACCAGCTGATGTTTTAATACTGTTGTTAACATAGTGTTCTTCTGTAAATAGGAGCAATTCTTTTATGCACAAGAACTGGAATTGAGAGAAGTTTAGATTTACAGTGCTACAAAGGTATCAAATCATTCTAACATCAAATTAATCCAAAAATAACCGTAATTTCTCATTATTTCCATAGTATCTTTGACTTGTCCTCTTTTGTGACTCTCTGCCACTGTAAGCACCAGTTGAAAATCTAGGTCTAACTCCTGCCAGAGGCAGTGAAAAGGGGGCTCTTTAAACCTACGGTAACAAACCAAGAGCTCGGCAGCATAGTGGAGGAAACAACTTCTGATCAAGGGAATCAGGTCACGATTTGTTTTGTGCTTTCTGAGTCCGTGGATTGGGGCTGAAAATTCACATCAATCCTTTGGGTACTAGATACTTCAGATCCTAGCCCAGGAAACAGTATTTCAGTTCATTATTTACTTACTTTTAAAGGAAGCATCTGGATCTACCATGAGGTTAATATTTCATGGTATTTGTAAGTGGTTGTAGTATAGAGGTATAGATATTTATTTTTAATGAAAAGACATCAGCTGCAGTTTACCAGTGAATCTTCAGTGGTCTCTGAAGTGCTGGCAATGTTCCCACTTATTTATTCATTGTTGTGTTTTTATGATGTGTAATTTAAACATTGTGATAATCTGATTAGTGACCCTTTCAGAAAGGCATTAAGATTCTGTGTTTGTCAGGTTTAATACTTAAATTTCTACAGCTAGGTTGCTAGTCAAAGCGTAATCTCAGTTTACTGTAAGCTAGGAAAACAGTAATAGGAAGGTGTGTCAAATACTGTAGAACAATCATTTTTTTACCTGTAAAAGGTGTAGTTTTTTATCTGCAAGTACCAAACACTCACTTTAGATTTGAAAATCAAGCTATCTTGTTAAGATTCGTAGGTAAGCAGCACTGGATATTGGCTCACGATTTTGCTCTCAGTGAATGAGGGCACAATTGTTTTCTGCAGCTGTATGAGCTTATAGACCTGGCGGAAAGAGGAATTTGTAAGTTTGGTCTATCGGGAATTATTTGAGGGGAAAGTGCTGGAGCACTTAATCTTTGAAAATCGGACAACTGTGCTATTCCATCAGCAGTGTCTAGATAGACACTGTAGCAATGGTACTCCAAATTAGCCCAGTTTTGGTTTATATCCAATGCGCTTTCAAAAAGTCACACGCAGCAGGGTTTTTGAAAGAAAGTAACAGTTCACTGGCTTCAGTGCAAAAGGTATCAGTGGGGGAGCTGCCTCTTGCCTTTGTCCTCCAGCAGTAGGTCACAAGACAGGCACACATCTTTGCCTCAGACAGATGATGGAGCAAGGTGCACAGCACGAGTTTTGCTAGGGAGAAATCCATGTTTTCTAATCGTGGCATGGAGCCACAGCTTCTTTTAAGTTTTCCATGTCTTTCAAGGTCTCCACAGAGTCAGAGAGATGCTAAACCATTGCCAAGAGGGTAGAGAAGTGAGGCTGAAGCTTTGTGAGTCTTCCCTCTTCCCCAAAAATCTGTAGGGATTGGAACAGTTTGATTCATTGGCATCAAGCTTGAAACTTATGCACATATTAATATTTATTTCCTGCATTCCTTTTGGACAGAACTTTCCCTCCAGCGTCACATCAGAAAGGGACTTCCATCAAGAGAGAGGAATCGCTGTAGCCCTTCTTGGAGTGCAGTCACACAATCACAGAAACAGGTCATTCAAGGCTTTTGTGAGACTTTCAAGGTGTTTCAAAATTCTCTACCAAGAGAGCAGGGAAAAATCAATAGTAAAAACTGTTTGTAAAATTGCAGTAATGAGAGAGGGGGGAAAAAAAAAGACTAAGGGTCGGTCAGTGTAACTCCACTGACTTCAGTGAACTTGCTGATTCAGAGAAGCCAAGGGTTAGGTCTGTTATTTATACTTTGATGACCCGTACTTGCAGGACGATAGCTTTGCATGTACAGTTCTTAATCTGTGCCCAACTGCTTATGTGTGTCACAGGCTGTTTTCTCGTCCATCAAGCTGCCGGTTTAATTTGTGGTTCTCAAAGTTTATTCTGAGCAGCCCCAAAAAGGCACCCTCATTGCACGTCTCGCAAAGCTTCTTCCTTTTTTTTTTTTTATAGTCAGAAACTCCATTAAGGTAGATGTGAAGGCTGGACCAGTTGAAGAATTACAGAGACTGTAAAACTGTGATTAAAAAGAGTTTCTCACCAAATATCTGCCGTCTCAGTAAATCAAAGCACTTGTGGAGATAGTTCAAAGCTGACAAAATCCTGAGGGAATACTATCATATATAGTACTTTGCATATATATTTATCATTAAACTAAAAGCTCAGATTGCTGAATGAATTAAACCTTGCCTTACCTTATAGGAAAGTTATCTGTTATTTCATTTATT